GCCGGGGCGCAGTCCCGGTAGAGCCCCAGCCGCGGCTGAGCGCGCGCGTCGCCGGCAGCTGCGCGACCCCCAGAGACCTCTCACGGCTCCCGCTGCCGCCCCCGAGCCGCGCACGACATGAGCCAGGCCGGCTGGGCCGGGAAGAGGACGAGCATGCTCCCCGAGATCGCCGCCGCCGTGGGCTTCCTCTCCAGCCTCCTGAGGACCCGCGGCTGCGTGAGCGAGCAGAGGCTGAAGGTGTTCAGCGGGGCTCTCCAGGAGGCACTCACAGGTGAGCGCCCGCCGTGGATCCAGGCGCGCCGCGCCTCCGGGCTCTCCCCCGCCCTGCCCGGGGCAGCCTTCCTCTCGGCGGGGGCTCCTCGCGCCGGCAACTCGGACTCGGTTTCCCTCCAGCCCGGGCGGCCCGCAGGTCCCCGCTCCCCCGCTCACGTCTCCCTTCCCGGCCCTGCGCGCAGGTCTCGGCCCCCCGTGATTCTTGGGGAGCGCTGCGGGCACAGAGTCTAGTCCTGGAGTGCGATTCTGACTCCCCGGCTTATGCCCTGGAAGAGGGGGTCCCTGCGGGTCTGAGTGCGAGCCGATCTCCCCCGCTGGGCTCTGAGACGCCCCAGGACGCTGCGGGGGACAGAGCCCTGCCGGCGAGAGGACTCTGGGGAGAGGAAGACGCCCCCCAGCCGGCTCGGCCACCGGCGCCCCAGCCCCGGCTCTTCCGGCGAGCGCGCGGCGCTGTCCCGGGCGGGCTGTGGGCTCCAAGTGGGAACCCGGCTCCTTTTGTGCCCCCCCGCCAGCCGCCTGCCACCGTCCGCGCTGCGGGGGCCTGTGGGGCGCCGTGGGCTGCTCCCGACGGGAGGTGGACAGCAGAGAAGCAGCTGCGGGCTGGAGACAGACCCGGCTGTTTTTCGCCCCTTGGCTGGTGGCGCTGGGCAGCGACAGCCTCTCTGGATATGCCCACACACGTCCCGCCTTCTGAGGAGCATCCTATGTTCCATTAAAGCAGCCCCTTTTGACTCCTTAGCCAGACAGTTGCTAAGGATCTCTGACTTTTGAAGGAGGGAACCTCTGTGGCCCAGGGTGGGAGGTGCAGCAGTTTGCTGTGGATCCAACCAGGATGATTGTCCTCCTGGGTTTGAAACTAGAAGTCATGACAAACCACCTTGTTGACTTAAAATCACCGGGTCGCTTCCTCTGCTTTATCCCTTCATCTCCCCTTGCACTTGTACCGCCCCTGGTCCAGCTGCTCTAACCAAGGCGTCTTCCCTTTGTCCTGTCCCCACAGAGCACTACAAACACCACTGGTTTCCTGAGAAGCCATCCAAGGGCTCTGGCTACCGCTGCATCCGTATCAACCACAAGATGGACCCCATCATCAGCAAGGTGGCCAGCCAGATCGGACTCAGCCAGCCCCAGCTGCACCGGCTGCTGCCTCGAGAGCTCACCCTGTGGGTGGATCCCTACGAGGTATCCTACCGAATAGGGGAGGATGGCTCCATCTGCGTCCTGTATGAGGAGGCCCCGCTGGTCGCCTCCTACGGGCTCCTCACCTGCAAGAACCAAATGCTGCTGGGCAGGAGCAGCCCCTCGAAGAACTACGTGATGGCCGTCTCCAGTTAGCTCCCCTGCCACCCCCACCTGGCACTCTACTGTACTCATCCTGCCGTGACAACAGGCCACAGCATACCTCAACCTGGGGAACTGTATTTTAAATGAAGAGCTATTTATATATATTATTTTTTTAAGAAAAGGGGAGAAAAAAAAACCTAAAGATTTTTTTTAAGAAAAAAATCCTTAAAAGGTGCTGCTTGGAAGCAGCCTCCCCAGGTGCCTTTGGAGAGAACTGTTGTGCGCTTGAATCTAGGAACCAGTGTCTGCCTATGGGAGGGGGGAGCGGTTAGGGGTGGGCCTGACCAAGGTGAAGTGGGAGAAGCTTGGCCAGCACCTCAAGAAAATGTGAGAGGGAGCAAGCATGGTTAGCAGCTGTGAATGAGAGATAGGATCTGCCCTGTTGGGGGTGGGGATGGGGGTGAGGCTGATTCTAGCCTCTCACTCCCCCAACCAGGACACCTGCATCCCTGACCTCAGGGGCATTCAAGCCTAGACTTAACTCGTGTTGCCTAATCTTCACTTTTATTTTCCTGATGAGATCCTGGGCAGAGATTCCTTCTGTCCCAAGCAGCTTTTCTTAAAATCATCACTTGTTTCTAATTCTATCCTCAGGGGCCTGTAGATGTTGCTTCCCAGATGTTGCTTCCCCTTTTGTTTTGTGAGGGTCAGGGGAGTAAGGCAGGGTTGGAGGTTACTGGGGTTGGGATGGAAGGGTACTCTGCACAAAAACCTTTGCTTTGCAATATGCTGCTCTGCGTGTCAGTGTGGCCAATAACTTGGGGGTGACTTGCAATGGAATTTTAGAACCCAAAGAGTATCCACTGGGTGGTTACAAAACCCTTCTTTTTGGAACCACATGAAAGTCCTATTGCTGCTGCCGTTATCCCTTTGAGAGGTGGCTCAAAAGCTACAGGGAACTTCAAGTCCTTTATCACTGCCTTCTTTTTAAAAGCACAACACTCCTCTCTAAATCTCCCCACTCCTCTCCCCTCTGGTTGGATCATGGAGCTACCCTATTTTCTAGAACAAGAGTTCTCAGTCACTGTGCAATATGGCCTCCTAGTCCCAGGAGGGTGTGGAGAACGCCCTCAGAACCCCCTGGTGCTCTGGTGGACTGAGGGAGCCATCTCTCCCTCTGCCCTTGGAACTGTGGCTGGCTGCTCAGCCTTGCAGGTATCCCTTGGCTGAACCAGGAAAGCCCAAGTTCTGTAGGATTACTTGGCGTCCTTGTAGGGCTGACACTAAAAACCAAACATTGGGCATTGTTTTTCTCCCTGGTGCTCAGAGCACCTCTGGGAGAGGTTGCTGTCTCTCTCAGTGCAATCCAAATTTGTCTGTAGACTTGTGCAATATTTACTGTTCTGGGTTGGAGAAAAGTGGAAAACTACCTTTGGTTTCTCAGTGACATTAGTGAGGGGTCCTCAGAAGGCCTTGAGTTTCCCAAACCTGAATCACCTTAAAAGGGACATAGCTAGAACATCTTGTCAGCCTGGCTACCCTCCTGCTATTCACCCTTAGTGAGGAACCTTCCTCCCCAACCCCTAAAGTCCCCTCCCCACTGAATTCCCCCTTCCTGGGTTTCTTAACTACTCAATTCTAACTCAGAGGTGCTATTTACCAAACACTCTCCCAACCCATTCCTGCCTGTTCTGCCCCGTTTTCAACTCTCCAGGTCCAAGCTGTTTTCCCAGACCCTGCTCCCACTCTTGATTGCTTTAAAAGTGACTTCTGGCCCACAGACCCAAGAGCTTATTTTCTGGCCTGTGGGTTGAAACAAAGCTGTGAATCACTGAAGATTACGTTGTTGCATATTGCAAACAGGTCCTGCCTTTCTAGAAGCAGCCTTATGGTCTCATGCTTAATCTTTTCTCTCTTCTCTTCTTTTTGATGTTCACTTTAAAGACAAAATGCCCAGAGCTGGACTGTTGAGCAGGCCTGTCTCTCCTGTTAGGTAAAATTAAATAGTAGTACGTTTGTAAGCTATTCTGAAAGAAAAGACAAAGGTTACTAATTGTACAATAGTGTTTTTATATGGAAGAATGTACAGCTTTATGGACAAATGTACACTTTTTTTGTTACTTTAATAAAACTGTAGCAGATGAAGTTGTGTGGTGTAGAGAAAATTCTACATCACTGATTTGGGTGTCTTTCTCAGATCCAGATCCTTTCTTTGTGTCTTCAGTTACACTCAGAAAACCTATAGCATGTGGCTAGATAAAAGAAAAATCTATGGTGGGGACATTTCCAAGCATCCCCTCTTCTCTAGGAAGTAGCTCCTTATTTATTTCCCCTAATGCACATTCTAACCATTCCCTGTGAAAATGCTAGATGTGAGGATTCACCTTAGCATCCTGTTCTTCCTAGGCCTTAGTTGTATTCACGCCCTGTTCCGTTCAGCAAGAATGTACTGTCAGTAAGTTCTGGGCACTGGAAATATTATAGGTGATTAAGACACACAGCCTGTCTTCTCACAGACTAGATGGTGAACAGGGACACCAAGATCCCAGCTTGGGACAGGATTGTTAGAAATTCCTGGTACAGGTTCTCCTGTCCTCTCTGGAGCTACCGTTTGCTGCCTACCATTCTTGTCTTATTAGACAAGAACAGTTGGGCCTCAGGAGTTTCCACTGAAGTCACAAGTTAATTGTTGACCTGAGCTAGTTTTTTTTTTTTTCCTTGGCCATAGGTGCTGTCTTTAAATTTTAAACATGTTGATTCATGAACAGTGGGATCCATTCCCGCCACATACAAGTTCATTTCACACCTCCATGACCCTAATCAACAAACACGTAGTTTGACCTAGGTGGCAGGTGGCCCTGGAGGTTCTGTATGATGGGCTGGGAGGGTAGGTGAGCCAGGATATGGGGATGGGGGAAGCCAGCTCATCTATCATAAATAGAATTGGTTATGGGGACCCACTTGTGTCAAGGAATTGGTATTTAAAGGAATGTTCCCATGTTCATTTGTAGCTCCTAGTACAGATAACAGGCACTCATTTATAAGGACCTACTTTTTTGGATGAGAGGACTCATTGTTAAGGTTGAATTTTTGCCCATCCAAGAGTGCTCTCTCTTGTTTGGTACAAAGTCAGCATCTATCTTGTTTCCTAATAGGCCCCACTCATGAAGGATATTTCATTTAGTGGAAAGCCTGAAATTCATGGAAGCATGTCTAGAGGTTAAGGGGTCATCATCACACACTCCTGTCTCCAAGCCAGGGAAACTGCAGAATGGCAGATTTGTCTTGGGGTTGCTCTTGGCTCTTGGCAGACTAATAGTCCCTCAATTTACATGAAAGGGTTCTGTGATCAAGCAATGTGTTATTTGCTTTAGATCTGACCAAGTTCAGCAGGGGTGGAGAGTGCCACCTGGCCAGCTGAGTGAGGTACAGGGGCTGGGGACAGGAACTGCCTACAGAGTTGCAGGTGGCAGCTTTCTGTGTCAAGGACTGAGCATTAGTCTGTCATTCTGCCCCCAGCTTCCCCAGTTGGTAAACAGGGCCAGTCTGACTGCACACGGGGAGACCTGTGCTCAGTCAGCTGTTTCTGGATGATAGTGTCCTCCCAGAGAGTGGAGATGAGGTCCTGGGAGCTGCAGATTAAGAGCCGTCCTAGCTCCTGATAATGAGGTTTGGGTGGGGCGGTCCATGATGCTGCAACAAACAAGCTCCAGGAGGAAGAAACCCACTCAGTGAGTCTGACATCTGATCATTTAGTAACCTTTGGTGAGGGAAGATAGGCCTCCCAGCTTCCAGGCCAGTGTCAGCACCGACAAAGCATGGCACACTAGAGAGGCGTAAGGACAAGGGCAGAGGAAAGAACTGAGAATCATGGGAACACACAGGGGCAGGGGAGATGTCACTGGGCAGGTGCCTGGAAGAGATGGTCTGAATCTTGAGAGATGAGTTATCCAGGCAAAAGTGGGTGGGTAGAAAGGGGAGCAGGGAATTCCTTGAGCAGAGGCCCAGAGGCTGCAGTCCCAGGCACAGGTTAATGGGCACCGGTTGAGTGAGGGTGGGGAGAGCTGCTTCCAGTTGAATCCTTGCAGGGGAAGCAGAGGTCCCACGCGTGCCCTTGGTTCTATCAGGAACATGCTGGGTGCTCCTTCCTGAGACCGTGGCCATGGTGACGGCCTACTATTGATATGTTTAATGCAGAGCCTCACTCCTGATATGTGGGGGGCAGGTCAGAAACCCCCACATTCCCAGGTGCATCATAGTTAACAAAATGAGGGCCTATGAACATAAGTACTTTAAAAAAAGTGTTTAACATTTAAAAAAAAATAGTTACCATCCTTAGTATTTAGGGAGATGTCAAATAAAAGTACATTTCAGGTTCCTCTTGAAAAATCACAATACCTGTTATCACTGGTCTCCCAGAATGACAGTGAACTAGAGCTAAGGAGCAGGGTGGGGTGGGGTTGGGGTTCAGACGAGGCTTGGGCTTGCTCTCCGAGCTGAGCACAGCCTCTGCCCAGCCATCCTCACTCTCTGATTTCCTGACACACCTCTATCCCCTGGTGCTCACTGAACTTTAAGTGGCCCCTCCTTGCTGCTGGTGGTAAATAAAGCCACCTTTGCTTCAGCTGGCCCTGCTACACCCCTCTTATCTGATCTGCTCCCGGCAGCTTGTCGGGTTTACTGGACAAGGGTTGAATTAGGGCCCACCCTTGTCAATGGGACTGGAGGTGGGGAGTGGTAGAGCCGGGTGTCAGCTGGGAACAAAATGACTTGGAGCTGATGGGCCCAGAGAACCAGGCTCCTATCCCCTGATAGGACTGGCTGCACATCTGGGATACACTCGTTTGCTAAGCTTGTTATCCAGGGCCGTGGTAGCTTCTTAGATTGAGCTCAAACGTTTTTCTTGCCAGTTCTGTAAAGAAATGATGTGGAGAGAAAGTCAGAACTCTCCAGAACTCATCAGGCTTGCCCTTCTCAAGCTCCTCATTTCTCTCTCTTCTGGGAAGGGAGAGCACGTGGGTGTGATCCCACAGGTGGGCAGAGTGGAGGTAAGCAAAGTTGTTACTGGAAAATCCCTTTCCCGCCCACTGTGTGTGTGAATGAGCATGTATCTCAGTTTGTATTAATCCACAAGCAGACCATGGAGCCATCAGGTCAAAGCTGCTCTGTGCCAATGAGATGAGCTGTCTGGCAAGGACACCACACATTTCAGCAAGAGTGACAGAGGTCAGACATGAGTTCATTCATTCATTCATTCATTCATTCAGTCGGTTCTTGTAGTGCCTGTTATGGGCTACCTATGACACTAGGGTGGCCTTTGGGACTGTGAAGATTTTTTGATTTTTGATTTTTTTAACAGAATTTTTGTAATGAGGATCACATTTTATTTCATTTTATTTTTAATCTTCACCCGAGGATATTTTTTCCATTGCTTTTCAGAGAGAGTGGACGGGAGAGGGAGGGAGAGAGAGAGAAACATTGATGTGAGGGAGACACATCGATTGGCTGCCTCCCTCACCTGCCTTGACCGGTGCGGGGAATGAGCCTGCAACTGAGGTGCGTGCCCTTGGCCAGAATCAAACCTGGGATCCTTCAGTCCACGGGCAGATGCTCTAATCACTGAGCCAAACCAGCTAGGGTGAGACTGTGAAGAATTTTAAACGAAGGATTGAAAGGCATCCTCCTATGGGAGAGGACCTGGACTTGCTTGGATGGCGTTAACTGTAGCCATTTTCAGAGGCACTGGTAGGAACCATTGCCTCAGCCATTGTTTCCTTCCAGTTATCAGGATGCCAGTGTCCTTGTGCATCTTAGGGCCAACCTGGAGCCCCTTGAAGAGGTGAGGTTAACTTCTACATAAAACCACAATTCTCATTTATTGAGTGCTTAAATGTGAAAAGCACCAATTCTAAGTAGTTTATTGATCTCATTTGATCCTCATAACAACATTGTGAGATGGATTCGACTTTTTTAAAAAAAAAAAATGCTTTTACTGATTTCAGAGAGAGGAAGGGAGAGGGAGAGATTGAAACATTGATGGGCTGCCTCTTGCACGCCCCCTCCTAGGGATCGAGCCAGCAACCTGGGCACGTGCCCTGACCAGGAATGGAACTGGTGAGCTCCTGGTGCGTGGTACAGCTCTCAACCAACCGAGCCACACCAGCCGGGCTGGATTCTATTTTTAATTCACTTTTACAAGTGGGGAAATGGAGGCTTGGTTGGTAAAGTGACTTGACCCAGGCTGCACAGCCAATGGGGAGGTGGGAGAGCAGATGAGATCCCCTCGGCAGCCTCACAGCAGAGCCTGAGTGCCTCCCCTCTTTGCAGCTGCCTCAGGACTCACTCTTGGACACTGAAACCTTGTCAGGCAGGAATGTGATGCGAACAAGAGAAGATTATCACTTACTGTGCTTCCCGACCCCAAAAACTTTTCAGTTCAACTAATTGAAAATAATCATCATTGTGCTAATCGCCCTACAGTGATTGCCAGGATAATGGAGATGATTTAGAACCAAAAGCTGAAGAAAGGAATAGAAGTCATTTCATCCAACCCCCTAATTTGAGACAGGAAAATCGAGGGGCTTGTCCAAACTCACACAGCTGGTTAGGAAGAAAAACCCAGATCACCACCCACATATTCTCCCTCCCAGTCCAGATGCAGTAGGAGTGAGGGCATCAAGCTCATCAATAGGAGCCGTGACCACGGCTATGGCCTCAGGAAGCAGCACCCAGCACGTTCCTGATAGAACCAAGGGCACACGGAGGACCTCTGCTTCCCCTGCAAGGATTCAACTGGAAGCAGCTCTCCCCACCCTCACTCAACTGGTGCCCATTAACCTGTGCCTGGGACTGCAGCCTCTGGGCCTCTGCTCGAGGAATTCCCTGCTCCCCATCAACTTTTGCCTGGATAACTCATCTCTCAATATTCAGACCATCTCTTCCAGGCATCTGTCCAGTGACATCTCCCCCTACCCCTGTGTGTTCCCATGGTACTCAGTTCTTTCCTCTGCCCTTGTCCTTATAACTTCGAATCTTAGCTACAACGTGGGCCCAGGACCTTGCCAAGCAGTGTCTGGTACTTCGTGGGTGTTAGTGAATATTGGTTGAATGAATGTCAAAGTTACCAAAAATAAGAAGCTAAGAGATGAAAGGGATTTAGATCAGGTGAAAGAAAAAAAATCAGGTCCATTCAGGAT